ACTCCTCCTGCTTGTGTTCCCTCTCTCGCTGTGTCTCTGTCAAATAAATAAAATCTTAAAGAAAAAAAGCTTTCATTGATTCTTCACTGTCTGCATGATAAAGCCCAAATTTCTGGTGTGGTTTTGTAGAACCCTGCTAACCTCTCCAGCCTGACCTCATGCTACTCTGCTGGAGTTGGGCAGTTCTCGCCTCTGGGTCTCTATATTGCTTTTTTTGTTCAGATACTTTCTCCCACCGTCTCATCTAAAGGAACTTCTACTCAACCTTGAAACATCAGTTCTGAGAAGTCTTTAGCTATCATCTCTGTGCCTCTTCAGTACCAAGGATCTGTAATAATCATGATTACCACTTGTGCTAAGTGCTTGACATGCAGTACTTGCTGCCCTAATGGGAGCCTGGCATCACCGTCATACATGTGAGAAAACAAATTAAGAAGGCTAAAACTCTTCCAAAGGCCACATACTAGGACCTGGACTTGAACCTTAACTCAGAGGAAGTGATGCTCTTCTAGCCTAACTACAATTAATATATACATGTGGGCAGGGACTGATTCACCTCTGCATCCCCAGCTAGCCCAGGGCCTGGCACAGATCAGGTGTCCATTAGTGTTTGCAGAATAAATTAACACCAGGTCAGGTGAGAGGGAGACTGGGTGTGGTGTGTGCGTAATGGGCCTAAATGAATGAATGATGGCCAGCCTGGCCCAGCAGTAGAGGCTGGTAAGAACAAAGTGGAAGAAACCTAACTTTTACTTCTTTTATTATAATTTGGTTTAACAGCCACTTATTGAGCACATAAGGACCATGCAACAATAAATACCCCACAAATGAATTAGAACATAGCCCCTGCTCTCAAAAATTCTAGGTTCAGTATATAAGGTTGTCAGGCTACCAGCTATTAAGCTTGTAATTTTAGCAAGTTAAGTCTTCATCTTCAAAGGCCTTTTAGGGGTGCCTGGGTGGCTCAGTCGTTAGGCATCTGCCTTCGGCTCGGGTCATGATCCCAGGGTCCTGGGATCGAGCCCCGTGTCGGGCTCCCTGCTCAGTGGGAGGCCTGCTTCTCCTTCTCCCTCTCCCACTCCCCCTGCTTGTGTTCCCTCTCTCGCTGTGTCTCTGTCAAATAAATAAAATCTTAAAAAAAAAAAAAAGGCCTTTTAGCATTTCTACATTGTGAATCTCTACTGGCTTACAGAGAAGAACCAGAGGTGGCAGGGACTCCCCACCTCGGTATCATCTCCTACTACTTGCAATGAAAGTGGCCAGGCTGGGTGGGCAGTGATTTTAGGGGGGAGGTCCCTTGGTATAGGGACTATCTTATTCATCTGTGTGCCCAAAATAAAGGTCCTGGCACAGAGGTCATAATGCTTGTTGAGTGGATTAAACATAATGAGATGGTTTCAAAAAAGATACTGACTGATCCTCTGTTCCAGTCTCTTGAGGGAGCAGTTTTAACTCTGAGCAGTGGGGAACCAGGTCTCTAAAGTCTTTCTAAACTGTGCTGGGCAGGACTCAGCAGGTGCTGTAGAGAGATGAGAGATGGGAAGGGCAGGATGAGCTCAAACAGCTCAAACTGCTGGTTTACAGTCTGGCATGTCTCCTGAGGGTTTACTGAGTATGCACCTGGACTGCAGGCTGAATGGTCCAAGAGAGACCAAAAGACAGACAGCAGAACTGGCAGGTGAGAACACTCAGGCTTTGGATGGACATCTGGCAGTTCCCACTATCTGACTCCTGCTCTTGCCTCAGGAGCCTTGATGCTAGGTGCTACATGGGTTGCTCCACATTCTCTTATGATGTTGCTGATGAGGCTTAGAGAGAGGTAAAACATGCCCAGGGTCACAAACCCAGAGACTGAGCTTGGGAGTTCACCCCAAGTCTGGAATACTAAACACTATTTCTCACTACTGCCTTATTCAGCTGCTTTGTTAAGTTTTTTTTTTTTTCTTTGCTAATAAGGCAGTAACTGTTTTAGTCTTATTTAGAAAATGAGGATTTGGACTGTTAGTGAACAGATCAATATAGTTTAGTGACCTGAAATAAATGGAAGTAGGGACTTTTGGGATCCCAAATAGGCCAGCTCAAGGTCCTGCCTTTATATGTGAACAAGTTATGCAAATAAGCAAAGGGGACTGGATGGAACCAGCATGGCTTCAAACCTCAACTCAGGAATCACGGCTCTTCCAGCCTAACTGCGATTACTGTATACATGTTCTCTGGACCATGAGCCCTTTGTGGGCAGGGACCACATCTGATTCACTTCTGCATTCCCAGCTAGCGCAGAGCCTGGCACAGATCAGGTGTCCTTCCTATCAGAGGCAGACACTATTCAGAGACTGCAGATTACTGCCTTACTGCAATGTGGGCCCAGCAGCACCAGATTTTGAGAGTTTTAAGAAATGGCACAAGTCCAGTTTGTGGGAATCTTTTGGTTTTTTAAAAAATTGCCTTACATCAAAACAAAAACAAAACAAAGTGTGACTTGGGACTTTAGAACTTGTCTGTGGACTACAAGTGGTCCTGTTTGCCATCTTTGGCTTTAGTCTGGCCTGCAACACTGAGTTTCCCCTTACATATGTACCCACTCTGTGTACACAGAGAATTTTAAGTGGCAGTGGGAGACACAGATCCTCACCAAAGGCACGCTAGTGGGCAGAACAACGACCCCAACCCTTTCAGCAGGTGCTTTTCACCAGGGCACAAAAGCCTGCTTCTGGCATTGAGAAACCCCCTCCCCAGCAAAAAAGTGGGGTACAATCAGAAGAGAGTTTGTCAGTTTGTTTCACCTCTTTGTGGCTATAGTATTTAAGAAAAAAAAAAAAAAAAAAAGCCTTGTTAAATCCCGCACAGTACAGAAGAGTGTCCTTTTTTGGAGGGGCACGAGGCACCTGAGACCTACAGTGGGGGTTATTTGAGCAAATGCTTGCGGAGTTTCTGTTTCTTCATCTGAAAAATGGGGAAATAGTACTTATATCCTTCAGTTCATTCATTAAACATTTGTTAATCACAGGCATAGGGGTACAATAGTGACTGACGTGGTTCCTGCACTCTCAGAGTTTATGTAGCAAAAGCAGACCAATAATTAAACCAATAGTTAACTCATCACAATTGTACTAAATGCTGAGGAAAGAAAAGGGGTGGTGGGAAGATTAGAAGTATGGTATATAAAGTGTCTGGCATGAATAAATTAATAGACTGGCAGGTCAAGCAGTGGAGCAGATAATGAAGCTTATAGCTCTTAGGAAAGCTGTGTCCTAAATAAATACTAAATAGTTAAACCATTATCCAAAATTCTGGCCATGAATACTATAGCCTAGCTAAGTGGCAGGGGACCCTAAAGTTTTGCTGGTGAGTGGGAAGGAGAGAAGACAACAGCTCCCCTGGCTCTCCCTACCTTAATGCTCCCCTTTTGGATAACAGCATTCCCAGGGTGGCCCAGAGAAGAGAAAGAGGAAAGCTAGAGGGGGAAGCATGTTCAGGGTCTAAAATCAGACCAGGCAAGGGCGGAGTCCAACCTGGTGAGTTGTATCCCGGGGTAGGGGGTGGGGGTGAAGGTGAGGCTTCTGACACTCAATAAGTGGTGACATTTTCATTAATTAAAAATCTTATCGTGATATGAAACACAAAGGAGACCAGCATTGAAAGTGGGTTACAATAAGCACAGGTTCTCAACGGATTCATTCTCTCTCTCATTCACCTAGTTATTTCTACTCAGTGTCAGCAAGGCCCAGGGCTAGGCATGGAGGATCAGAGATAGATGACATAGTCTGTGCCCCCGTGGAGTTCACAGTGCAGTGCAGGAACAGATACATCAACAGAATGTCTCAGTGAAGAATGGGGAATGCTACCAAAGGAAGCACAAGGGGCTGTGGGCACAAAGAGGGCACCTCACGCAATTGGGAAGGTAGGGAAGGCTTTCTGGGAATGGTACCCCAAATGGCATCCCCACTCACATGCACAATTCCAGAGATTCTACTAGAAGGCTGTCAAGAGCCATGCCTTCTGGCTGCACCAGCCTCCCAGAGTCCCCTGCTGCCCGATGCAGTGTCTGCAGAGCCAAACGCATCTTCCGCCACGCCTCATCCTCATCCGGCGCTGCATCCGACCCTCCAAGACTCCTGCAGGAGCCTGCCTTCCTTGGCAGGCTCAGCCAAAAGACCAACTCAAAACTCTTTTGTCAGAGCAAGCTTAGGGCGAGCCACCCAGCCCCAGGTGCCACAACCCTCCCAGAGCAACTGTGGCTCATGCCACCCCGGGCTCTCAGTGAACACTAGCAGGGTACCTCCCATTATCTCCTTTGCTCAAAAGAAAGTGACCTTCTTCCAGGTGACAAGCTGGAAGCTTTGCTGAGTCCTGCTACTGCTCACTCTCAGCAGGATTCACCAAACCCAGGGATCTGAGGGTTGGGGTGGGCCACCTTGTTGGTCAGAGGTATACAGGGAAGAAAGGGCAGGTTTTGCTAGTTTACGCTTCGGTGCAGGCACCCCACCAAATAGTCTTCTGGGCAGGGAGAGGCGGGAGGCCACAGGAGACATATGCTGGGGGCACACAGCTGCTCAGGGGGCAGTGGCTGCAGGCAGTGAGGGGAAAGGGTGGGGCCGCTCCCGGGGTGGGGAGAGGGAAGAGGCTGCAGCCTTCCAGGCCACAGCGCCCCAGGCTGGCCTGTGGGTAGGTGGGGGAGCAGGTGGGCCCAGGGAGAGGTGAAGGGCAGAGAGCCGAGCTGTGGCCTCAGGAGCACAGTCCAGTCCCAGTGTGGGGATACGACCAGAAGGTTTAGCCCCTGCTCCAGCCCGGAGGCCCCGGGAGAGGGCAGGCAGCTCTGGTCACAGGACAGGACGGACCATGCTTCGGCTTGGAGAGAAGGGTCCAGCCTCCACTCCCGCCTCAGGGGAGACAGCCTCAGCCCCAGCCAATGGAGGATGGTCCATCCCCAAGCTCACCCCGGCCCCGCTCCCGGGAGGGTAAAGTGCCGGAGCAGCCGGACTCCCCTCGCTCGCTCCTACCTGCGGTCCGGGCGCCAACTTGGGCTCGTCCTCCTCCCTGGGGCCGTCGCGGTCCGGCTCCACGGGCGCCGCCGGGGGCCCTGCACCCGCTCCCGCTTCCAGGCTCGGCGGCGGCGGGGGCTCGGGAGCCTGGGGCTTCTGCTGCCCCGCGGCCCGCATCCGCTCGCGCCGACCCGCGCCGCCGCTCGGCCTGCTCCGCCTCCGAGTCATGCTGCTGCTCGCCCCGCTCCCTCGCTCCACTCGCGCCGCCGCCGCCGCCGCCGCCGCCGCCGCTCCCCTCTCAGGACAACAGCCAATATGGCGGCGCCCGGCTCCCCCCTCTGCTGCTGCCAGCAGGTCATAGGGCGCGGCGTCCGCGCCGCCGCACTAGCCCCCGAGGCTGCCTGCGCCATTTTGAATAAGGTCACCACTTAAAGTTCTGTGAGAGTAAGAACCTGGCGGACTCGCGGGATGCGACCTGCGCCGGGGAAGGGTGGGCGTTGTGGTAACCCTGCGGCACGGCCCTGGGCGCTTAATAATTGTCTGTTGAATGGATGAGTGAATTAATTAACTTCTAGAGTACTTTGACACCCACCATGTGACTCCTCGCACTCACGCGGGGAGGCGGGTACGGTCGTTCCCATTTTGCGGCGGACAAAATCGAGGCTACGGAAGGCGAAGGGGCTGCTCAACATTAGCCAGCCAGAACTCATGGGTTCGTGGATGGCCTGAGGTGAAAGGGGTGGAGGAATGGTTTAGGTCTTTATTTGCAACGTATGGTCGACTGGGGAGTCCAGTGTTCTGTGCTTGGGACAGCAGAGCTCAGACCCCGCTCTTGCCGCAGTCTGGTGGAGAAAGTGGACAGTTAGAGTTACGACTAGTGTGATGAAGGTGAGATGACTGGGGCACATACTAGGTCAGTGTTTCTGCAAAAGTTGTATGTGCAGGAGAGGATTTTGAGTGGTACACAAAGGAACATTTAAAAAATGTGATAATTATGTATTTAATTGTTAAAATGAGCTTCCCCCTCTCTTTTTTTGAATATATGAGACATGCACATGGTACAACTTTTAGAAAAAGTTTTGAGTGCAATCGCTCATGCCAGGGCCAGGGGTACCCTGAAACTATATGGCGGTTATATGTAGAGTTGCTGTTGATATCAACAGGCCAGAATTATGACATTAGCCTAATTAATGGGAACAAGGGCTATTTTGAGAAGAAGGGCTGCATGGCCCCGGAGCTTTCCTTAACTACCAAGAACGTAAATGAAAAATACTTCATCTCATTATAGGGATTAGTGCCATCATCAAAGATTTGAAGGATTCAGGGTAATTCCCACTACCTGAACATGACTTCTTAGTTTGGCCAGAACAGAAGATAGATAGTATTTTTTCCCATTTATTTATTTTTATTGTGTTAAAATATGCCTAACATAAAATTTAACAATCTTAACCATTTTTGAGCATATAGTCAAATGGTATTAAGTACATTCTCATTGTGTGCAACCATTACCTTCATCCCTCTTCAGAACTCTTTTCATCTTGCAAAACTGAAACTCCATACTGATTAAATAACTCCTCATCCTCCCTTTCCACAGCCCCTGGCAACCACCATTCTACTTAAAAACAAACAAACAAACAAAAACCCAACCTCTTTTTCTTCACACTGCAGCCTCTGGTACCACTATCTTACTTTCTGTTACTGTGAGTTCAGCTTAATATTCCACATATAAGTTAGATCATGCAGTATTTGTCTTTTTGTGACTGGCTTATTTCACTTTGCAGAGTGCCCTCCAGAGTCGTCCATGTTGTTGGAAATGGCAGGATTTTCTTCTCTTTGAGGGATGAATAATATTCCTTTATATGTATTATATACATATGCTTTGTATGTAATATATATTCTTTTTTTTTAAAGATTTTATTTATTTATTTGTCAGAGAGAGAGCACAAGCAGGAGGAGCGGCAAGCAGAGGGAGAAGCAGGTTCCCCACTGAGCAGGGAGCCGGATGCAGGACTTGAACCCAGGACCCCGGGATCATGACCTGAGCCGAAGGCAGCTGCTCAACCAACTGAGCCACCCAGGCATCCCTATAATATATATTCTTTTTTTTTTTTTTAAAGATTTTATTTATTTATTTGAGAGAGAGAAAGAGATAGAGAGAGAGCATGAGAGGGGAGAGGGTCAGAGGGAGAAGCAGACTCCCTGCTGAGCAGGGAGCCCGATGCGGGACTCGATCCCGGGACTCCAGGATCATGACCTGAGCCGAAGGCAGTGGCTTAACCAACTGAGCCACCCAGGCGCCCAATATAATATATATTCTTATACTAATGTATTTTATATATATTTCTTTCACATATATATATATGTATATATGTGTGTGTATGTGTATGCCACATTCTCTTTATTGATGGAGAAGATAGATGGTCCTGAAGAATGACAGAGCATTATGGCAGACTTATTCTGGTAAGGACCCCAGATGTGGGCACTTTTTCAGAGTGGTCATTTTTGGAGCGTATGGGTGCTGTTGTTGGCCTCTAATAGACAACTATAGTTCTAGTAAATGCTTTTCCTTCTATACCAAATTTTAGGAATAGTTTGTGTTCCTCTGGCAGGGGCAGTAGTAAACCTTTACTGTCTTGCTTCAGGGGTATGTCACTCTCTGAACACACTTATTTTATAGGAAGTTTTGACCAAATCACCGTTCCATTGGCTACCAGGCTAATCTACTGTGACACTGATGACATCATCCTGATGGGCCCCTTCCTCCCCTTGAGTCTTGGAGTTGGGCCTCAGCCTAATTAAGGACTTTCTTTTTTTTTTTTAATTTTTTTATTTTAAAGATTATTTATTTATTTGAGAGAGAGAGAGAGTGTGAGTGAGAACACAAGCCAGGGTGGAGGGAGAGGCAGAAGAAGAGGGAGAAGCAGACTCCCTGCTGAGCAGGGAGCCTAACTCGGGACTCCATCCCAGGACCCTGGGGTCATGACCTGAGCTGAAGGCAGGCACTTAACTGACTGAGCCACCCAGGCACCCCCTAACTAAGGACTTTCTTAACACTTTTTGAGGGAGGTAACCTTTTTGAGGGAGGGTCTCCTTCCTTCTCCCTCAATCCACCTCCCTCTAAACTTGAGAATGGACTTGCACCTTCTGGCAGGAGGGCCTGGGAATGACTCACCCCACTTCCCCTGAGATGGGGAGAGGGTTTAGAGGAGAAGGAATAAAGTGGGAGAGGATGAGCGATCCAGCATGAAAAGGTCTTGAATCCCAGGTTGAGATTTGGACCTTCCGTGAGGGTGGTGGAGCCTTGGCACGGGGGAAGAATGAAATAGGGAGGTCCCAGGTCCCAGAAGAGGTGCTCTGGAAGGGGAAGTACATTGCTGTGACCTTTTCCAGGCCCTACAGGCCTCATTGTTAGAGTGACTATAGTAGAGTCTGCATGGTGCAATTCTAACAGATACTTTTTCTAGGTAGTAAATAGAAAATGGCTAGTTAAGTAGGTGGCTTTATTAGAGCAGTTGGTTATTGTTCCTAATCATTAATTGAGTAGGCAAGAACGATTGAACCTATGTTACAGGGCCCTGGGAGAAGACCATCAGGGGAAGGAGGCAAAACTTTGCAGACACTATTGAAGAACCTGAATTAGCCTGGGGTGTTTGGGAAACAAATCTCTCAAAAGGAAGAGAGACTTCCTCCTCCTCACCACCCTACCATCCATCTGACCTCCAAGTCTTGTTGATTCTGCTTCCAAAATATCTATCCCAGCAAGGAGGAATCTCTCTTCATAAATTCATCTGTGCAAGAAATATAATTAAAGTTTTTTAATAACTCAATTTCTATTTTGAACTCCCATTCTGCTGGGGTGGCAGAAACTTCATCTCAGCTAATGGAGTGTTTTACCCCTTCCCTGGGGCTTGTGTTTAAGCCTCTGGAGCCTCATCTAGTACTCGGGTGTGAGTGTGTGTGTGTGTGTGTGTGTGTGTGTGTGTTGGGGGATCTAGTTCTCAATGTCATCTGTCTACACAGATATTTGTGGAGATGTCATTGGTCCCACTGGTTACTGTTGAGACATGGCTGTTCTCACACGTTTGCTAGAGACCCCAGCTCTCTTCCTGCTGCATGCCACTATTGCCTGTGGGAATCTTGCTGAGCTTAGCTAAGGTCTTTTTTTTGGCTGGATGCACCTCAGAGCCATCTCCATGACGGGGGTTGCTGCTTCCCTCTCTGCTCCTGGGTTTTCTGCCCTGTACTCCAGCCTCTGTGAACTCTCATCACTCCCCTCCGTCCTCCTCTTCTACGCTCCCTTTTCTCCAGACCTTGGAAGCCCTTGTTTTGGGGTCTCTGGAGGACCCCCCAATAGTTGGCACTGTCTTACTGACGAGGGTTCTAAACATACTGGAAAATGAAGCAAAGGAGAGGCAGGTGAAGGCCAGGACATTGCCTTATTGCTGACAAAGGCCAGGGCGGAGCATTCGCCCAGTGTGGGCAACTGAACCCCTGAGCTCGGTAGACGCCCCCTGTCCCCAGTCATGGCAGTGCTCAACTGGGTGGGCCTCCCTCCAGAGCCCCTGGTGGGGCAGTGGATATGGCAGATCTGAAGAGGAAGAAGAGCAGAACTGAGCAGAGCATGCACTGTATTCTTCCCAAATACACAAATCAGAGGAGTTTTTCTCTCTCCCAGGTGCAGAAGTATCCTGCTGGCAGAGCCTCCCTATCTCCGTTAGCTCATGTAGGTTCTTGAAACTTTTTAGCTATGTCTGAGATGTCTCTCCTTGTCCCTAAGTCCTTTTTGAACCCAAATCTAGCGGTACTTAGAATTTTTTAAGTAAAACTTAGAAACACAGACAAATGTAAACAATTCTATAACGAATCCCTTGCAGCCATCATCCAGCTTCCACAGTTATCAGCTCGTGGGCAATTATGATTCATCTATAACTGCCCCTGACCCCCAACTCCTGTATTAATGGAAACAAGCCCAATACATTATACCAGAAAGACTTGTTTTCTGTCCTGTCACATCCCACTCCCAAGGGGCAATGAGCACATAATGGACTAGCTATTTGAAAGGGGCTGGGGGATGAATTACCAGAAAAAGGAAAAACAAAGGGTAACATTATAAAAACATTATCCTGCCAGAGCAGTGAGGCTGTTTCCATTTTCCTTACCACTGTTGGAGTTCAGGACTCATCATTTGTCTCTGGCGACAACCTCATAATTAGTCTCCTTGCTGCTTC